TGGGATTCTGTGATCCTGTACCTAATCTCTCCCCGTTGCTCCCCTTGTCTGTAGCCGTACTAGCGCAGTGCGTTGAGAAACGCCCCATCTGCTCATCGCTGGCCGGTTTCCAGTTTACAAAGTGGGATGCTGAATCCCACGATGAGGTACGTTGGTCAGCTCTGGGCCGCGTGGGATACTTGAGCTGCACGCTGTGCTCACCTCCAAAGCGGTCTCCGAGATATACAGCGCAGTGGGATGTTGTGCTGCTCTTGATACCCTGCAGTTTTTATCCCTGAGCCCTTTCTTCTCCCACAGTCAGTGTCAGCCCTGTTGGATAAATTTAAGAAGAGCGACCAAGTGTTCGACCTCGATGCGGAGGTCGACAGCGATGTGGAAGACTGTGTTCCCAACCTGCCAAATGACGACTTCATTTCTGACTCCCCCAGAAGTGCAGCAGCAGACAAGAATGGGGAATTCACAGAAAACCACAACCTCTTTGAAACAATCCACCAGAGCAAGAGGTAAGTGTCACTGAAAATCTATGACTTCGCTTTGATAGCAAGTGCCAACTTCTGGCAGCTTTCTGGGGAGTCTTTAATTCACTGTGTACACGTTTTCCATCTGGCTATAGCTTGTTTTCTACTCAAGTTTCTTGTACATCCAGCAATGCATTACTATAATATCTCTACCTTCTGAAAGGACCTTTTCCTATGGTCATATTTCCCCAGATTATTGCTTGGCTGCCCAGTTTCCAGCCTGCCCTTTGACAAACCCACCTTGGTTTTTGCAGCAGCCTCACAGACTCCAGCCCTCCAGTACCATTCACTGATTAAAGAGCAGGAGTCCTGCATAGATGTCAGCACAGGGAGTGGGCAATGTCCATATAGAGCTGATCTGGATATTAAATGCATGCTTAGACCCAATGAGTGCCAAAGGAATTATTTCACCGAGCAGCACACGTGCTTTTTCCAGTGTTGATGCGGTTCCTCTGGGAGAGGGAGACATCGGGACCATGTGCCTTCATCTCTCCATGAAACCAGGGGAATACTCCTACTTCAGTCCCCGAATTCTGTCCATGTGGGCTGGCCCAGACCACTGGCAGTTCAAACCTCGACACAAAGGTACGTATTTGGAGACAGCGGTGTATCCAGAGATACACCTACTGCCAGGTCCTGCTTACCTTTGGAGATGGGTGACATCCGAGTCAAAGTAGGGACAGTAAAGAAGGGGACAAGCCTGCATGGCTCTTTTCTAGCCAGATGGGAAGCAGTACTGAGTTCAGACACCAGGAAGGCACTCAGTCACACACGGATCTTTTGGTTTTGCATGTATTTTCTACTGTTGGGTTTGTTAATGATGCTCAAAGTTGAGGGGGCACCTCTTACTGCAGCAACAGGAGATAGGAGCACTAATACAGTTCCTGCTGTTGTTTCCCATCTTCTGCGTAAAAACTGAAGATTAAATTACACTTTCTGCTTCTATAAAAAGATTGTGATCCCTTTAAAAATGAGAACACCTACTGCTTTCCTCTAACAAAGGGAAAAGTCCTTGTAGGAGACTTTCTGTGTGGAGCACATGCTCAAGTTAGGAGTGAGCTCGTCCTTACTCTGTCACTAAGCACTGACAGCTCCCTTCCTTTCTGCAGCAGATGCTGTCTCTGAAAAAGAGACGAAGAAAAGGAATGCAAAGAAAGCATTTGAAATTAACTTTGATGAGGATGTTGACTTTGAGATGTATTTCCGTAAGACTAAGGTACATGCTGAGTTTCTGCTCTCTCTTTTGCTGTATCAGGCTTGGAACTGCCTGCAAATGGCTCAGCTCATGCTCCTGGCTCTGTAACCCCAAAATCATGTATGTTCCTTGGTGCAAGGTCTTCTGGCTCCAGGTCATGTTATAAATAGAGACTTTTACCAACCTTGGGGTGGAGAATCAGGCTGGGTTCTTCCTGGCTCATACCCTGTCAGTCAAAGAGACCCCACTGGTCCAGCTGGGTGTCCCAGGGTGCCCTGACTGGACCAGTGTAGATCCCCTCTTTGGTGGCATCTCAGAACTTACCCCCTTTTAGACAAAGACTTGTGTTCAAAGCACTTATTTGTACATCAATCTTCTGAGTAGTGGATAGCTCATGGGTAACGGTATTTCTTCCCTTCCCCAGGCATCTGTAACTTTGTCCAAATCCATTCTGGAAAGCCAGAATGCGAGGAGCACCACGCTTCCCCCAGACTTCAACTATGAACCTAAAAACATTCTCCAGCTGTGGCTCAAACCAACTGTTAAGGTAAAAGTCTTCTCTAAAAGCCTGTCAGCAATGATTCCACACACAAAACCACACTTCGCTTCGGGATGCTGAACCAACCCACTTGTGGCTGCCGAAGCGGCTGCGCTCGGCTGTTGTGCTTTACCAAGGGGTGGTATGCAAGGAGGAGGAGGAAGAGCCAGCAGGCTGGGAAAAGGGGAGGTGAGGAAGGAGAAAAGCCACAGGCATTGTTTGGGGAAGTATTTAGAGTTTTTTGCTCTCCTGATCTTGTAGATCTGCAGGACGTCGGAGCTGAACGGCCTGTTGGATCACAAAGATGAGATTGGCGAGTACGATTACAACAACCCCAGCGACGCCTCCAATTTCTGCCCTGCATTGCAGGTAACTGGAATAGAATTTCTTTCTGTTGCTTATATTTAACACATAACGGAATAATTTAGGAAGAATCTGTGTCCAGAATTGATTACTGGTGAAAAAGAATTGGAGCTGGAGATCATAACAAAGCTGCAGGACACCAACTAAACTGTCCATCTTTGGTGTTTACCAGCCAGTTTGCTGTAGAAACTCCATTCCAGCCCTAAAATAGGAGTAAATGCTGTCGCTCACCTCTGCGGTCACCTCTACACAGTGAGGTTTGCTCCTGGCTGTTTCCAGCTCCTGTTGAAGTAGATTTCTTCTAAAGCTTCAGCTTTCTGCCAGGCTGGCGCTGCCTCCTGAGTGTGTTTGTGACGAGGCTCGGCTGGTCCCACGCTGCCAGGGAAGCCCTCGTCTCTTACCTTTCACTGTAGAACAATCTTTTGCTATTCTGTACCCTAGACCTCCCTTGGGCTTAGCCTTAGCACCATGGGGAAGGTGGGCGGGTATCACCACCCTCCTGAGAGGCAGCTGCTCTTGTTAGCTCAGTGCAGGACATCTCTGGCTGCTCAAAGTTGTCCATGGATGGCCTTACTGCTCTATCTCCTCTTGATCAGCCTTCAGACACCGATGATGATAACGACCCTGTTCAATTCGTGAACAAGACGGGGGTGTTCAACATTACCACCCACCCTGGGGGTCAAGACGCTGAGAACAGCAAGGTTGTCGGCGATGTCAACATCACAACGTATGGAGAGCTGAACCTCATTGCTGAGCCTCGGAAGGTAAGGATTTGTGTCACCGAGCTGTGAACCACTCACTGGGCAGGTCTGGACCAAAGACTCAACACTTTGGGTGTTTAGAAGACCTAAGACACCAGTTTTGGGAGTTGCGAGATCTCTTGGGTTTGCTACTGGACACTTGATGAATCCAGATGGGTTGGACACTTTATGTAAGAGAATGGAATTAAAAATCAAAGGTTTAGGAGTAAGACAGCATTCACTGTCAGTAAGACAGCATTCACTGTTGTTCCCAAGGAGAACCACGTTTGGATTGTCCCTGTGGTCCTGACTGAGGATCCTGCTGCTGCTTCTGCTCAGCTGCTTGTAACTAACCCAGGACGTCTTTTCCTCAGGTCACTAAGATGATATTTCAGTATGCAAAGACAGCCAAGAAAATGGACATGAAGAAGTTGAAGAAAAACATGTGGGAACTCTTGACAGATAAAAAGCAGCAAGAAATATTGGCAGAGGTGAGTGCAGGGGGAGCCAGAGACACCAAAACAGGCCTGAGGATGAGAGAATGTCCCACAGGTAACTGCGCTTAACTCCTTAGAAAGATGAGCAAAATCTGTCTCATCTTTTTGCTAAATAGATAGAAGATGCAGAGGGAGAGAACACATCAGTGGTGGCAGGCGAGAAGATCTTCAGTGGCATCACAACGGACCTGCACCACAGGTAGAGAGGCCCTAAAGAAGGTTGGACTGAAGACGGGGGCAGACTCCAGCTGAGCTCGGGCAAACACCGACCCCTCTGTGTCTGTTACAACCTGCTCGCTGAACCCTGATGGGGAAAAATCTCCCCTCTTGCTCTGGGTTTGCCTGAGGGAGCTACGGGTCGCATTCAGCTTGGTGAATCCCTTGCAAGTGGGAGGGGAAAGGCGGAGAAAACAAAATCCCTGGGGAGGAACTCATCTTTGGTGACCGCATCCTTGCCTCATCCATCGGGTTTCAGCAGGCTCTGGCCATCCTAAGCTCCTCCCTTCTCTTTTGTAGGCTGCCTTCTGTGATGGCTAAAAATCTGTCTGTCCACATAGCCTTCGTCTGCCTCTTGCACCTGGCAAACGAGAAGGTAAGCGCAGCGTGCACACAGGTAGGAGCAGCGGGTGGAACAAGCAGTGAAAACCGCTGCGAGCAGGACTGTTTTCCTGCTGCAGCAGGATTTCTCAACTTAAATCCCAGTTTCATGCCTATAGCAAACATAAATCAGGCTGATGCACAGGGAACGTCAGCCCCTGGTTAAGCACTCGCAGCGTTTCCAGCCTAACTGGTGTCTGTCCTTGTCCTTGGGCGAGCACTTTGTTGCTCAGTGTTGTAAGCCTCCAACAGCTGATGGTGACAGAAAGGGCTGGGGTTGGTTCTGAACCTTCCTCGTGTATTTTTTTATGTCAGACCTTCAGGCTCAGAAAAGAAAGGTCTGGCTTTGTCAAACATAACTTTTCTTTCACACTCCCAGAATCTGAAGCTGGAGGGCGCCCAGGACCTGTCTGACATCCTCGTGAAACAAGGCTGCTGAGCCCTCTGCGGAGCAGGCCACCGAGGCTCACCCCAGGACAGAGCTCAGCTCCCCAGCTGACCCCTGCTCGCTCCGCACTCATCAGTGGCAGACTTTTCTCCTCCCAACACCGTTGCTGAGAAATCCCACTGGTCTCTGCACCTTCCTTTAGAAGGAAGACACTTAAATCAAGGATGTTTGAGCTAAACGTTGGACCCCTACAGATGGACGGTTGCCTGGCTCCTGCTGTCTTCAATCCAGCAGCTTTTTCCTGGGTCCAGGTAGCAGAGTTCCTCCATCTCACTGTGAACTGCCAGCAAAAACGTCCTCCGTGTGTCTGTCTGTCTGTAATTCCCAGTACGTGGACTGATGTCTCCAGTTCCTCCTGTAGTCCTGCTCATCCCCTGAAGTTATTTACCTTTTATACTGAGCTTAAAGATAATAAATTGCTACAGACTTTTTCAGATGGGGAAGGAGGAGTCTCTAAAACAGGAGAGATGTTAAAATAACACACGAGGGTCAGGGAGCAGCAAGGGCAGGGCTGTTCCCCAGAGAAAGGACAGGTTGGGGGCACAGGAGGTGCTGGTGGGGGCACAAGATGAGGTTTTAAATAAAATAGTAACAAACAGGGACTTCGTAACGAAGAAAGGATGTATTTCCTCGAGTCAGGGGATCCGCAGGAGAAGCACAAGCAACCCCCTGTATTCACAGCTTCAAGTGGGGCAACTTCCTGAGGGGCTTCTGGGCCAATGTGGGGGGCAGTGCCTGCTTCACCCCAGCCCCTCCAGCGCAGTGAGGGTGAACTCAAACACCCACACCCACCACCCCCAGGATCCCTGCCACGTCCTGCTCAGCCCCAGGGCTCAGCACTCCCTCGTGTTGCCTTTGGGATCCTTCAGTCCCATCTCCCAGAAGAGCCGTGGGACTGGGCCTGCCTCTCCCCAGTAACCCGTGGTGCAGCATCACGAGGGGAGGTGGAAGAAGCGGGTGGCCCTGTGGGCGCCGTGCAGCCCTCCTCGCTGCTGCACCGGCAGCGCGTTCCCCAGTTCCTCCTCCAGCATCTGGAGGAGAAAAGCAGCGTTGCCACGTCCCACGTCTCACGTCACGCAGCCCTCCATCGCATCCCAAAACGCGAAGGAGATGCTCTGGGACCGCTCACCTCCTTGCGAGCAGCCAAGCGTTGCTTCCACTCGCTGAGCTCCATGGCGTGCTCCTGGTCCAGCCGCCCCAGCTGCCTCTTCTCCTGCTCTGCCAACAGCTGCATCTTCTCACTCTGGGACAGGGGGAGGAAGGCGCTGGAGCAGAGGGAGCAGGGGTGCAGGAAGCCCCGTCCTCCCAATTTTGCAGCGGTCCCTGGTACCTGCATCTGCTCCAGCTCTGCCAAGCTCTGCGCCTGCTGCTGCTGCAGCTCCTTGAGCTGCTGCGGCCGCCGCGCCTGC